AGAGTCCGCAGCAGTGCTGTTTGCTGTCCAGGGTACTGAAATGGAATCTGTAGTCGAAGAATGCTGCCCAGCGTACAAGAAAATCCTCCGCTATCTACAATTTTTCCTCCCCACCTCTTTTTATAGCTAGTCACACCGATTCTGCACCAAAACGCGGGAGGAAGAAAAGTGATTTCAGCCAGCAAAGCACAATCACTTAGTTGAACCCTATCTTCCTTTCTCCCTCGCGCGCACTCACTCTTTCACACACACACAGACAGACAAATACTGCAGAAGAACTCTTACGTGTACAGAATGCACCACCAGAGTCTTTTTAGAATAATAGCAAATCAGACGCAGAAACGAACGTTTCTTTTCTTCTCCTTCCCTCTCGTTTGCTCTATCGGAAACAACAATATGGTTGGAAAAATATCACCGTTTCTCCCAGCCTGCCATAGTTCTCCCTTCCTTCCACGGCTTTAGCCGTGGAAGAGCTTCCGAAGGCAAGCAGGGGGCTTTCAGCCTCTGCTTTTCCTTACCTTGGCTCCAGATGAGTTCTGCTCGGTTGCCTCTGTGGAGGGTTATGAGACTGGGGTGTGCTGCTGCAGTTGGGAAGTAAGAACAGCCGCTCCTGACCTCCCCAAATCTCCTTCTTCAATGGAATGGGAGCTGTGCCCTCATCAAAGATGGCCGTCGTTCCCAACGTCAGCAGCTTTTAATAGACATCTATTGAGAGGCAGAGGGGGATGGGAGGAGAGGAGAGGAAAAGAGGACGGAGGGGAGGGGGGAAGGAGGCGGAGGCAGGCTGGCGTCTGTGGGAGCTTGACTCATCAGAAGCTGCTGTTGCTGCACTGTACCGCAATCCTTTGCATTTTGCTCCACTTGTTATTAAATAGGATAAATTCATTTCAAATTGTGTAAAGAACATTAGTTTGAAGTGACCTGGACTGCATTCTATAATATGAATAGATTTTGCTTATCCATGTGGAGCTTTTTTTTTTTCCGCGAAGGTTTGATTGAAAAGTGGAGAGAAGGAGAAATAATGCGGTAGTAATTTGTTTTCACCAAAGGGGTGGTGCAAAAAAAAAAAACCTGAAAGAAAGAATGAAAGGGTATCCCTCTGAAGTCCCCAGTAACTCCATATATGGCCTGTCGACGTGGGCTTCTATTTTTATGTATGTTTTTTCTTCTGTATTGTTTCCTATGTTTCAACAGATCACCTTTTCTGACAGAGTGAAGGAGAGTCTCTAAATACGTTATAGTGCAAAAAATTAAGATATCTTTTTCTACATCGAGCAATGGAATCAAACTGCTTAAATCAATACAGTAGTTAATCTGTACTTTACAATGCAGTTTTGCCAGATGTGATTTTCTCAGAACTAATCTTTTCAATAAACATATATTCCTTTAAAAAAAATAGTATACCAATGGAACAAATCTTATCCTCTCTAATTATACTTATTTTACTCAACTTGAAAGTGCAAGCTAAACTATTAACAGAAACTTATTTCTTAAAAGGAAGGCTTCTTTGCTATTAAAAACTATAACACCAAAAACTAGCTGATGCATAAAAAAATACTTCTAGGATATGATTTAAAACAAGTAGACTTCAAACACATGAATCCAAATCTTCCTGTACTATAGAACAATCATAATGAAGCATCTCTGTCTCATCCGTAAGTAAGCAAACAATCTGATGACATGAAATGGCATATTTTTCACAAAGGACCATTCTGAGTTGCAGACACTGAGAGAAAAGCAATTATTAAATACTTGAGTAAAATAAAATAGTTTATCAAGCATTGTGGGCTTGGGAGCTCTGCAGGAAAGTAGAAATAATGTTATATGTCCCTCTATTTTTTTAAAAAAATATTTTTATTAAAGTTTTTTAAAAAAACAAAAAGAAATATTGACACTTTCTTCTTTTCAATAGTTTCGCGTCAGCAATCCATACTTATACATTTTCTCTCTCTTATCCTAATATATCTTTTATACATATATTTCTAATATATCATATATATACCACTACAACGTATTATATTATTCTAATTGTTTTATTTACATAAATGTGTACCCAATTTCCTTTCCACAATTTTTTTCTTCCTATTTGTTCTTATATTTCTACTCCAAATTCAACCATTATTTAATCTTTCCTTGTCCTTTTTTCCCTTTTCCATGTCCTTTTTTCCCACTAATAACCTGATTATTGGCTATGCACTGAATATTTAGAAAGCTCTGTCCTCACAAAAATACCAGTAAATGTTCTGAGATGAGGTGAAGAGGATATCTGGTAAGTAAAAAAAGAAAAATAAACAATGATGATCACAGAAGTAGGTATGAGTTGTGTATGCAACATTCCACAGTTAATGTGGCTATTGCTAGGTGTTAAAGGGACCATAATGGGATGGAGTTCTTGTCCTATTAAAAGTTCATCTATTCACAGATAGTCCAACCTGTATATCAAGGGAGTCCAACTTTGGTAACTATAAGATTTATGGACTTCAACTCCAAGAACTCCCTAGTATCCCTAATCTAAATCAACAGTAAAACTCTGCTTTTTCCTTTATAGGACTTGCATTGAGGGGAAAAAGATGCTAGGCTGGAATTGAGACAACCACTCTAATTGTGATTTAATTGCACATTTTACCCAGGCCTTTTTTTTTTTTAAAGGCAAGCTGTATTAATAAATACAATAGCAAAGCTCCGATTCAATGAAACAGGAATATAAACAGCAAACAACCACAACATAGCCCAATTATCTCTATTATTAATGGGGAATTGTGCTTAAGAACAACTTATTTATTATTATTTTATTTGTTAAATTTATTTACCACCTATCTTGCCACTCTATCCTTAAGATACTCTAGGCTGCTTACAATAATAAAAAGGAAGAAAATGAAATGAGTATAAACAGAACAGAAGCAAAATAATGATAAGACTATCAAAAGTAGGCTATCCTCACTTCATGTAATTTATAATTTTCATCCAAAAATTCACTGTATGTGGAAAAATGCTATTATGCAATTGTTGTCAGCCCAGTGAATTTGCACATGAAAACCTGCCAAAATTATTTCCCACTAAAATGATTTGAATATTTTTCCATCAAAACCTTATTCTGCCTTCACCTATACATTTGTTGTACAATTGTTCTAGTTGTGTGTTCTGTCTTTCACTTCAATATCTGCAATAGTTATTACTGTTATTGCAGGACCAAAGTGGCCATCAAAATCTTGTCTAATCAACAGTCCCAAAATGCAAAGGAGAAGCCCCTCTAACAAAAACAAACTTAGATTGTTACATTGCTTCAAAAGTGGTGAAGAATCCCCAGCCTTAGAACGAATTTTTAACCAACCAAGCAAATCTACTGCAAGCAAGACAACAAAGAATGAGAATCAAATTTGTACTATTATGATGAAATGCATTCTACTCTTTGTCTGCTATGATAACCGCATGCATTAATAGAAAAGATGGAGAAAATGCTTCCCCTGTACAGTACATAGCTACATAGAATATGAGACAAGGAAGAAAATGCATTTGAATAATGTAGTAGTGAAGAATAAGATTCTGAAAATGAATGAGCAGATTTGTCAATGCATTTAGGTTACAAAATGTGACAACCTATTCCTGTTTGTCCATTGGTTCAATGATTCTGTTTATATGAGTTTGTTTTATGCAAGGTTTTCAGAGAGCATAAAATAAGGGAAACCTGTACTGAGCTTGGAAATGCTTTTGTTCAGGATACTCCTGATAGGCAAGCATAATCAAGCCCAGAAAGGTGACGTACCAACAGTAGCCCAGGTCACAGATGCCAGCACAGGTGATGAGCTGCATGCAACATCTTAGGGGACTACTGAGCCACCTATGCTGCTATGAGAGTAGCAAAGATATCAGGGAGTTGAATGGTTATAAGATATCCTATAGCCCAGTGATAGCTAACCTTTTTGCCATCACATGCCAAAAGTGGGGGGAGCGTGGGTGCCCACACCCTGCTCCCCCGTGCATGTGTACACAACCCCCCTGCCCACTGCGCATACGCACGTGATCCCCATGCTCCCCTGCCCTCTTGCGCATGCACGCACGACCCCCCGTGGCCTGTTTTGGACATAGTAGGCCTCCCTGAAGCCTCCTGGAACCAAAAATGGGCCACAGGGGGTGCCGTTCCCCCCAGACATGCACACGTTACCCCTCCCCCATGCATGCATGCCATCTTTCGCATGTGCCCTGTCCATGTGCCAGAGACCCAAAAATCAGCTGGCTGGTGGGAGGTGCACGCACATGCGCCATGGAGCTGAGTTGAGCTATGGCTTACTTGCCCACAGAGAGGGCTCTGCATGCCACCTGTGACACACGTGCCATAGGTTTGCCATGACAGCTATTGCCCAACTCCTCCTCTGCATGAGAACAAAAATAGAGTTGTTCAATTGTGAGATGGGTGGTGTATAAATTATAAATAAATAAATAAAACGAAAGCAACCAAGCCAACGTTTATTACTGCTGAGGATATATGGCATTATTAATGTCCTTAATGGTGGATTTCCATTTATTTTCATTTCCCCATTTCCCACACCAACATATGCCTCCACACTTTTGCCTTTGTAGGGATATCCAACCTTGGTAACTTTAAGACATTTGACTTCAACTCCCAGAATTCCCCAGCCAACCATGCTGGAAATTGAAGTCCACAAGTCTTAAAGTTGCCAAATTGGACACCCCTGCCTTACACTATTCCTTTGGCAGCATGGATGTTGCAAACCTATGCTCCTCTTTCTTCATGGGTAAGGGTTCTATTCCACCTAAGTGCTTGCCCCATGCACATACTTTTTTTTTTCTTTTAGAAATGTTATTAAATGTATCATCCCATCTGGTCTCCATTTGTTACATCAAAATATGGCTGAGGATGCCTAGCAGCTGTGCGGGGGAGAAGAAACTAAGGGGGGCGGGGATTTCAGCTTTGTTGCCAAGCAACAAAGACGGTGGGAGATAGCAATCCTGGGGGAGCTTGAGAGGAAACAGGAAACAGATTTGGCCAGAAAGGAAGCAGGAAGTAGGTGTTGGTTGGAGCACAGTATTTGGGGGCCAGGTCTTATCAGGCCAGAGAGATGATTCCCAAGAAGAAGAAATAAAATAAAATAAAAAGAAAATCTGGTATTTATATTCCAGTACAGTATTTATAATCTCTGCATATTTGAGCTTCAGATACATAAGAGTAATGCCATCCTCTGGATGCTTGGATATTGAACTACATCACATATAATCCGTATTTCTGAAAACTGAATGGGAGAAGCCTGGCCCATATACATTTTACACTCATTGCTCAGTTCTCCAACACCTGTCCATACAACAGGACAAGCCAGATGATTACTCATTTAGATGAACAATTTGCAAATGTTCAAACTGAATCCTCTGCAACAACAATGGAAACATCTTGAAAATAATGTGACTTGCTTGGATGCATCCCCAAAAGAGGTATCATTAGACCTACAGAAATTTAGCCAGAGATTAATATGGCCCACCATATTAAAAGTAGAAAGCCTGTTCTGGCTGGCTATTGTTACTTCAAAATAACTTAGGTTTTAAAAGAGAGATCCTAGACAATTCACAGGAAATCTCTGCTGTGCTTCTAACATTCCTTTGCAATATTATTGGTCAATCACACAGAAGTTTATATTGCGGATTAGTAAAACAGCCCATAATCCTAGAAAATGGCGTAATAATGTCAAATCGGATTTTATTTTAATAAACATTAGTCATTCAAAATAACATTTCTCCATGCTGTTTCGTAGGTTATTTCTGAAATGGAAATGAATCACGAGGAAAGGAAGATGGTCAGAAGTTTCCCTTGGCCCGACTATATTAATTGCTAGGAGAACTCACCTGGGTTATTGCCATAATAATTATGAAGCATTTTGCAAGTGTCACAATAAAGGAGGAAATGTCTGTTTAATTTGAACTTAGCAGGTACAATATTATCTGGATCATAAAATATTATCTGGATCATAAAATATTAAGGTTTCCAGCTTTGTTGTTTACAATGGCCCCTGCATTCTTTGCATCACTGTGTTTATGTTAAAAACTGCACAACTTGGAGAATTGTATTATTTTCAGATAATGCAAGTCATCCAAACATTATATAATCGTATTATTTTTGACTAGTACAGCGTATGGCAATTATTTGTTGTCACATTCATTCAAATGCTTTTAAGAACTGCTTGCTAGATGATATCATTTTTGTCGGCTTTGTTAAAATTAGATAAGCACCAGCTTCCTAGCTTCACTGCATATGTATAGGCAGTGTAAACAATTTTGTAAAGAAAAAAAAAAACCCTTGAAATCAAAGCAGAAGAGCTTTGTAGTTTAACCTTTGATCCTGCTGAAGTTCAAATTTAATTAATACATTCACTGTGGTCAATGGGGATTCTTTTAGGGTATGTACAACCTGATAACCATGTTAAAACAAAGGTTAATAACCATGTAATCCTGAACACTGAAAATTATTTTTTTAAGTTTAAAAAGAGCAAATATGATTTTTTATCCCCATGAAACCCAATGCCACACAGAGAATAGGAAAAGCTCCATTAGAATAGAAATGACACCAATGACATTTTCCCCAAGAAAGGAAGTTAATGTGTATCTCTTCATACAAATTTGAGGGTATATGGTTTTTAGTTATGTTAATCAAGGTCAGAGCTAAAGCATGTATTTGATCATCAGAGTACCTTGGATTTCCCAAGAGGAAAAATCACTTTACATTCCTTCCCTGTGGCTTCAAATTTGTAAACACCAAGTTTTTCATAATTCCACCACTGCCAATCACAATGAGCAATTGCACTTGAGTTCTTTGTTTTCCCATTAAGGTATTCTACAGTATCCCCTAGCTTAATGTTGTTTTAATACATCTTTAGGGTAGAACGTCTGGTTCCAAATTTAAAGTATAACTAAAATGTTGTTATATGGAATTTTTCTCTTCAGGGTTTTTATCTCTTCATCATTGATTTAATATATTATTGTGGTCCATCGTACAGCCAGCCAGATGTTTGGACAAGATTTGGCATTCACCTATCAAGTCCTTCCCAAGGACCTGGGTACTGTAGATAGATGGTGTTGGAGGATATAAGTTGCAGGATATAAACTGTTCCAAGTTTGGTTTTTTTTAAAATTTGATTTATATGCCACCCTTCTTCGGAGACTCAGGGCGGCTTACAATGTGTTAAGCAATAGCCTTCATACTTTTGTATATTTATACAAAGTCAGTTTATTGCCCCCACAATCCGGGTCCTCATTATTAATGACATCATTATCATCATCATTATTGTCATATGTATTTATTTTTAGAATTAATATATTATAATGATGTGTGTGCGTGTGTGCATGCATGCGTGCGTGCGTGTGTGCGAGGGAAGGAGGGAGGGAAGGAGGGAGAGGGGAAGGGAATGAGAGAGAACATTTTACCAGTAATTTTAGGCCATTCTTCTATATCTTGCTTGTTCTATAGCCCACAAACTCAATAGCATCTAGCTCTAGGACAGCTATACAAATTAGGAGAATGTTAATTAAATTCTTTTATAAGCTAGTCAGGGTCATTTGCTTGGTAATCTCTCCTGTCTTCCCCCAATTATCTCATATTTTTCCAACTAGATTTTCCCAACCTTCCATATGTTGGATTTCAATTCCTATGTTGGACAGGGATGGTAGATCTCATCAAGGGTTTGTTAGCTCCAGTGCACCATTTCCAGCAGTGACCTGTGAGAAGCAAGTGGTGCATTTCTCTCTTGCATTTACAAGTGAAATTGAGTAATAGCTTCTCCATATTAAATCTAGTAGGTCCAGAGCTGTACACGTCCTTCAAATTCCCTGTGAAGAACCACAGTCCAGGAAGTAAATGGGGCCACCACAAAATAAACACATCTGGAGGAGGTAGGCTAGAACTAAACTCGATTTGATTAAAATTAAATGTACACATCAGTAGGATCGCTTCCAATATGCTTAATCATTTTCTGTCATTTTAAAAATTAAAATTGGGATTGGGAATTATACCCAAGGTTTTTCTAAAGCTGTAACATGGCCTTGTGCTCTCTATGGAGTTTCTGTAATGGGAAGGTTCAAGTAAAAGGGCTACTAATGTCTCTCTACCCACTTTTTCTCCACAGAGCACCAGTGAAAATAATTATGTTCTTCTAAAGCCAAATATGTAATTTAGTAATTTAAGAATCCAGATTTGATTCATTGCACATACACTTAGATTATTATCCTGCTCTTTCCATGGTAAAGCATCTAAAAATATTTTCCCTTCATCTGCCATTTCTTGCTTTGTAATTAGTTAAAATTTCTAATATGCTGGCAATGTATTAGAAGACAGTAATGTGCAGTTTCACATTTTAAGCTCATAAATCATGGCACTATCAGGATTCCAGGAACAAAACAGAATCTTCCCAATACAAAATTATTTGACGGAAAGCACTATTTTATTTTGATGATGAAAGTGATACAGTGTTTAGAGTATATATGTGCTCATTTCTCTGTCCAAACTATAACATATATTTTTAAAGTAGATTTTAAATGTCTAAAACTATTTTTGTTTTTTAAATAGTATCACAAGGATTCAACAATGAACAGCTGAATCAGGGGATTCATAATTCCATGCTGGCCCAGAGAAGATAATGCTAGGATTGTTTATTGTTGCCTCAAACATTTGGGTTTTTATCTGGGATGTTCTGGGTATTGGATCTTGGTCTCTTGCCTTTGCCATTAGACATTTTAAATAACAAAATCCCAAAGGTTTGTAGAAAGTTAGCACCCACCCACCCCTTCTAGAAGAATGAAATATTTTGAGAAATATTTGAGAAAAAGGCATATTATTATATTTCCCAAAGGGAGAAATGGAGAAATGTTTTTTAGAGGCAGAAAGCAACCCCCACTTTCCTTAATAGCCCACAGCAGATGTCAGCACTTAAGAGATAAAGAGCTTATTGAAAGAAGACAAGTAGCTAGATAGCTCTATTCATAAGCAAATACCCTCAACCCAAGAGCCAAAAGCGGATGAAAGCCATTAAGCCACAATAGGAATTACCCAACACCCTTTCAGAACACAAGCCCCTTGACTGCATCCCCCTCAGAGCAGTCCAAAGTTCAACCAAACGTAGCTCAAACACCTAGGATTTGTACTTTGCCTATAGAGCCAGCTATGACCCGTACATAACTGCTACATGACCAGTGGTGGATTTCAAATTTTTTTACTACCAGTTCTGTGGGTGTGGCTTGGTGGGCGTGGCATGGCTTGATGGGCGTGGCAGGGAAAGGATACTGTAAAATCTCCATTCCCACCCCAGTCCAGGGGAAGGATACCGTAAAATCCCCATTTCCTCCCAATCAGCTGGGACTTGGGAGGCAGAGAATAGATGGGGGTGGGGCCAGTCAGAATTTTTACTACCGGTTCTCCAAACTACTCAAATTTTCTGCTACCAGTTCTCCAGAACTGGTCAGAACCTGCTGAAACCCACCTCTGTACATGACCCCATGGGAGTCTGACAACAGCCAATAGAATACATGTTCTTGCACAGGAACAGGAAGCTCAAGTGCAAAGTCTAAGAGAAGGTACAAAACATCCCCACTTTCAATTCCATTTTGTCAGCTGCCCAGAACCACAAACCCTGGTGGTTCTGTTCATCCATAAACCATCTTTCCAATCAGCCTTCATGTTTCCAGTATCTTTCTCCCAGCTTCGAACTGAACCAGACGGATATTTCTTCCCACAAGCTCATCCTTTTCTTCTTAGGAAGAAGAACATGTTTTTATCTTGTCTTAGGAACATGACCTCCACATGACATTATCTTGCCCTGGCAAGTTGATCGTGGCTTTTTAGATTTCAGTCCTACATATGATTCCTTGCATTAAGCCTTATTTCCCTCCCCCTCCCCCCCATACAGTAAAGCACTTGAATTCTCCAATATAATTTTTCATCGCTGCTGACATTTTAACAAACAGTTGCAGATTGAGGCTGCATGTGTTCTGCTTGGCTCAGTTGGGAATTTTCAAGACATCAAGAACTGTGGAATTCATGCAAGTCAATAGCACAAGAATTATTAAGCAGAACTGAATGGGGAAAAAAATATCTACCTTACGTTTGCAGCAGTGGATGGTTTGATAGATGTTGTCTGTCAATGTTTGAATTAAATGTTTTTCAACGAAGAGTCATGGAAGAGGACTTTTGAGCAATCCGGTGGAATTTCTTAGCATAATTTAACATACAAGATAGCTTCCTAGGCTTTGTAGGAAGTTAGTACTCACCCCTCTCCTAGGAAAATGAAATCTTTTGGGAAATATTAAAAGGGCAGAGTATTTCCCCTAAAAGGGAGGCAGAAACTCAACCCCCCACTTTTGTCAATGGGCCATTAAGGCCTTGGCCAGTCTATTCCATACAACAAAGATAGGATTACCCCTCTACCCATCTAGCAACAGAACTCACCACAGAGGTGGGTTTCAACAGGTTCTGACTAGTTCTGGAGAACCGGTAGCGGAAATTCTGAGTAGTTCGGAGAACCGGCAAATGCCACCTCTGACTGGCCCTACCCCCATCTATTCTCTGCCTCCCGAGTCCCAGCTGATTGGTAGGAAATGGGGATTTTGCAGTAACCTTCCCCTGGAGTGGGGTGGGAATGGAGATTTTATAGTATCCTTCCCCTGCCACGCCTACCAAGCTACACCACGCTCATCAAGCCACGCCCACAGAACCAGTAGTAAAAAAATGTGAATCCCACCACTGACTCACTACATGCACCTGGGGAGATTACATCAGCCAGCAAGGCTCAACCAAGCCTGGGAGACAGAAAGCCTACAAAGTTAGCTAATACCCCCGCCCCCTGGGAGTCTGACCACCAATCAGAATACATTTCTTACACAGGAATAGGAAGCTCTAAGGTGGGGCCCAATAGAGGGCATAAAACCAGGCACTCCCAGAATCTTTTCCCTTTTTTCTGCTCAGGAGCTCAAGCCATGTGATCCTGTCCACCCTTAAAACCGTCTTTCCAAACAGCCACCATGTTTCCAGTGTCTTTCTCCCCACTTGGAACTGAACCCAGAAGGATATTTCTTCCAACGGCTTTTTACTTTATTCTCTTTTTAAAACATTTCAATTGCATCATTCTTAATATCAACAATAATATTTACCGTATGGTGTACATCTGTTTGCTTTACAGAGTTTCACATAATCAAATGGCTTTAAAAATAAAAATCATGCTGGAATTTCATAAGCACAAAGTACCAATTTATTGCTGATTATAGAGAGCAATTCTCTGTCTCCGTCTCTGCCTCCTGCCTGAGACAAGAGCGCCCACTTCTCTGATGACAGAAAGTTGTTATTATTGTGGTTGTTCTTATTCTCATCCCACCTTTTGTCCTCAGAGAGTGGTTATGCGGCCTCTCCTCCATTTTTATCCTCACAGCAACTTTGGAAAGTAGGTTAAGCTGACAGAGGATACCAAATAAGCTTTGGGACTGATCTGGGATTTCAAGTTGGATTTCCCTGATCTAAATCAAACATCAGTCTTGTTAGCAGATATTCAGGAATAAGATTCTGTATTTTATTTTATTTCTTTGGCGGAAAAACATACGTCATGGGTTTTTTGGCAATCTGAGATGATAACGTCAGTTTTCTCATATCTGCAATATGTGTTACATTACATTGGTGAGTTGTAAAATACAGGTTGTCCTTGAACTTACAACGGTTTGTTTAGTGACTGTTCAAAGTTACAATGGCCCTGGAAAAAGTGACTTATGATCATTTTTTCACAGTTACGATCTTTGTAGCATCCCCATGATCATGTGATCAAAATTCAGATGCTTGGCACCCGACTCATATTTATGTCCCAAGGTCACGTGATCCACGTTTTGTGACCTTCTGACAAGCAAAGTCAATGGGGAAGCCAGATTCACTTAACAACCGGGTTACTAACTTATCACTTAGCAGTGATTCACTTAACAACTGTGGCAAGAAAAGTTGTAAAATGGAACAAAACTCACTTAACAAATGTCTCACTTAACGACAGGAATTGTGGGCTCAATTCTGGTCGTAAATCGAGGACTACCTGTATTGGCCATTGCCTCAGCAGCAGCTTATAGTGATT